CCCCCCCCACAGATCCGCCATCTTTTGTCTCGCCCACCAGTCTTTTCATATATCAGAATTTTGTTGATTACCTGTTTTTCAGCATGTTTATATTTGGTGAGGTAAAAATATTGCTGAAATGGATAAATGAAATGTACTATTTGCTACTGATACTGTTGCTGACTGTATCAAAAAAATCAAAAAAAAAAAAACTAAAATTATTTTCCTTAAATAGATGAAATTAAAAATTGGGAAAAAAAAGAAAAAGTACCTAAGCGATACATTACTGTGGCAAAGTTTTCCGACAGCAAATGATCATTGTTCATATTCTTTGGCTGTTGACATCAATAAGTTTAATTGCAATTCAATTTAATAGTTTTTTTTTTTTTGTTTCTGTAGTCGATGACGACAAATTTAAAAATTTGTGTTTCCAGAAAAAAAAAGATTTTTTTTAATAATTAATATTATCAATAAGAAAAAAATAAAAAGCACATTGCATTACGTCCTTATTTTGCATCAGAAAAAAAAAATCTGTATTTGTTCTTTTTCTTTTTTTCCTCTTACCTACTTTTATAGGTTAAAAACAACAACAACAACAGCAATGTTTTATTTTGCATCAAACATTTCAGTATTTATTTGTTTCATTTTCAAAACTTTATTCGGGTTATATACAGAGAACTGTTGTTGATTTACTGTTGACAAATGAAACTTTGTTAAACTCTTCTAAACAAAAAAGAAAAAAAGAAAAGGGGGGGGGGAAAATGAAACTGAAAACTAGTATATTGTAAAGATTTATCCTCTTTTTGTGTATTGTATTGGAAAAAAAAAAAAGATCAAATTCTCAAACAAAAGAAGATAGAAAATTTAATGGAATGACACTACCAGTATTATGAGATAGCAAAAAAAAAAAAAGAAGTATTTAGAGAGAAAAAAAAAGATTTTTTTTCTTGTTAATTTTAAACCATTATTATTAGTATTATTGGCATTATTACTATCTGAACAGTAAGTACAGTGAAGTGAATAGTTCAGTTTTCGCGGATATATATATATATGTATATATTGTAAAATCATAAGCTGATCATCAGATCTGTTTAGAGCATCGCTTGTTTGGTTCAATTGCCATCTATTATAATTAAACTCCAAATTTTACCTCTTCTCCTCTTTGCTTTTTCTCTCCCTCATCCTCCTGTTTTTTTACTTTTCTTTTTTTTCTTTCTACTCCTCTGTTCTCTGGAAAAAAAACTAGTTTTTTTTTTTGGGAGGTGGTAATCAACAGCATCTGTAACAAGCTAAAGTAGAGGGAGAAGGAGGAAGGGAGAAAGGGAGAAAGGGAGAAAGGGAGAAAGGAAGAAAGAGAGAGAGGAAAAAAGAAGGGACAGAAAAAAATGGTAGGAAAAAAAAACGGGTTTATCTCAGCCTCATTTTTAGACAGAGAACAAAAATCGGTAAAAATTATTGAACATAACAGAACAACACAAAAAGAAAAAATAAATAAAAATTGACGTTAAATTGACGATGAATAATACGCGTAACATTGAAGATTTAGTGCACCGTTGAGCAGCAATTGCATATCGACCTGTTGTCCTATCGAAACCACTTTT